GCAGCCGCGGGGCGCCCGAGGCCAGCCCCCTGGACCTGGACAGCGTCTCCGCTCCCTTTGAGGCTGAGCCGCGCCAGCCGCGCGCACTGCAGCGCAAAGTGTTCTAAGTATCATAGCTAGAAAGTATTCAACGTTCTCCCAAATACCTTTTCTCCCAAACAGGATTAACATGTTTGATGTAGCTTAATGCAGCTTTTTGTTTAAACTGGAAAGGAGGGCACTTTGTTTCTCGCTCGCGACTTTCGTCGTTATTTTTGCATTTTCGCGTGTGCTAAACATCAGAGGAGCAGGGAGAAGCGTGTCGCGGCGCTGGGCGGGGCGGAGCGGGGCGGAGCGGGGCGGGGCGGGGCGAGGCGGGGCGACCGCGTCCAGCCCCGGGGCGGTAATTATGAGAATTAGGAACGAAAAGCAAGTGTCATTGTGCACAATGCGCTCAGAGACAGAGAGACAACCGGGTGTGGACCGCCAGGGCTGCTGTGCGATCTGTGTCGGCGCGCTCTGGGCGCCCCGCCCCACCCCGCTCCAGCAGAGGAACAGAGACACGCAGTTTGAGCACCGCGCCCTCCACGGGACAGTGACAATGGGACATCCCCAAGGTTTTTGTGCTGCATTTATAATTTTTGCTCTTAAGATTTTGCGTTTTCGCCTGGGCAGGGGTGTCACACGCTTGCACCGCGGCGAGCTGTGCTATGGATCGTACTCATAAACACATATACTCAAGTTTGAGACTGCCCCTACCAGGAAGGTATAACAACAACACTGAAAAACCGAGGAAAAAACAAAGGTGCTAAGGTCGCGAACTTTCAAAGGTGATTAGTCCCGATTAGTGCAAATAGCATGAAAACTGCTAAAGAAAGGGCACTAATTTTTATCACCTCTGGTCCCTTCGGTGTATTTGCACACTGTAAGTGTGCTTTTTTTTTTACTAATTTGCACACTTTATCGTGTTTAAACATAAACCACACTACTGCTTCGTCCAATAATCACTTAAAATAGCTCCCATATAGTTGCTCCAACAACTTATGAGGCTCTCTGTACAAATACCATAGCTAATACATTAGTCGTGACAACGAATCTTTTGTTTGTTTTTTTCGTTCGGTACATAGTAACGTTTACAGCCGACGACAAGGAATCTCATCGCCAATGAAGGGGAATAAGGGCGTGATCGGCCGCCGCCGCCCTCGCCGCCTCTTCCGCTGGGGAGCAGGCGGCCGCGTCCTCGTCAGTTTATTTGGCCAGCCGCGCGTGGGACCGCGGGAGGGACCGTGAGTGAGGGTCCACTTCCATTAGCAGCGATTAAGAAGTACACCAGGCGAGGTTAAGCACCTCGTGAAAACCACACATACTCAAAGAAACAGAGGCAAACGTGCTATAGAGTTCCATGGTTTCAGCAGTGGCTTACCTGTAAGCCTGGCAGCCTGGCACACGACGCTTACACCTATACATGTGCTTACTTATCCCAGTGGTAAAGTGCCTCAATAACGTTTTAGACGCCAAAATACCAGTCTACCTAAACACAGATTTGAGTTAACATATTTTGAAGTTCTCTTTGAAAGGGCATTAACCCTAGCAATACTAAACTGTCGTACATATAGTGGGATTCATTTTATTGGCCAACTGTTGTGACGATAAACGAAGAGCCAACAGTGAATTGTTTTCGTCGGTCAGATGATGATTGATGATTGTCGATGCGGTCTTTCGAATTTTAAGTATCTTAAATTCTGATAAAAGTTTTGGTTTCGAGGAAAGGAGATAGTCTAACTTAAACAATACAACCATTTCCCTCATTTCGTACACCCAGAGAATGGTTCCATTGAACTAACGGAGAATCCCTTAGATCAATGGAAATTTAACTAATGGAAAACATGATAGCATTTTTCCGTAACTTAAAGCGATTTTCCAATAAACTATGAGAATTATTCCCTTCATTGGAAAAAACAACGGTAGGACTTAATGCCTTTCTAGGGGTGCTAAATTTAATTGCTTTTCTAAAGGCATTAAAACTCTTCGAGTCCTTACCACTGTTTTTCCAGTGTTGGATCAATGAAATTCCAATGTGTCAAGAGAAAAATCCTTTATATTTTTCTTTCGATTGAATCAACGGAACCGTTTTCTGGGTAGATAATCTCACCGATGGTCTGCATCTTTATTTCGACCGTTTGTACGACAGTCGCACGACAATTCTGTGCTGGAAACACAATACCATGACGATAGATAGTTGATACACCACCAAACAGGAGTAAATTTCATTAATTGAAAAATCAAATGTCAACTCGTTGACTTGCCGTTGCTGTGTGTGGGCCGTGCGCGCGGGGGCGACAATGCCCCGCACCGCCCGCACCGCACCGCGCCGCCACCACCCTCTCGACATCAAACGTCTCCGCGTCGCTCCGCGTCCTCCTCGCCGGGCTATGC